CCTAAATGCCACTTTATTATAGTGACACACACTGGTGTTGCTGTATTTTAGGGGCTGTCAGCATTTCCATTATAAATTTCCACAATTTTTAGTTTGACTCTGCCATAAAATCCAGATCCGAAACTCATCCTGTGTTTAGGACCATGTTTGAGTTTAAAATATAAATGTCTCTCTCTGTTCCTACCCCACTAAAATATTTCTTGAGAAGGGATTTCTGCTTGAGTCCTTCTTTTCTAGGAGGAATAACTAATTCTACCTGGACAAAAAACTTTGGGAATAGTTCCTGTGCCTTGAAAAATCCAGTTAAAATGAGTTTGGGGTTGATTTTCCTCCTTCTTGTGGGAAATAAAAATACTGTAATGCTTCTTTCCAGAATTCTTGGTCTCCCCCTTTTTTTTTTGTGGCACTGCATGGAAGGAAGGGGAATTTTATAGGGTTTCATTATTATCCCAGAACCTTTGGATGTGGGGTTCAAAACAGATGTGAAAATTTATTTATTGCTGTCACTGGTGATCTCAGGGTGACAGTGCACTCAGAACTTGAATTTAGGGCCTTTTTGGGTTTTCTCTGTGAAGGATGAATGAGAAATTCCTAAAGAATCCATATTTGCCATCTTCAGCTTTCYGCTTCTCAGGGATTTCTCATCAGCAGGTTGTCATTTGAATTGATTTTTCCAGGTTTTCTTCATGGATTTTCTGTTTTTAGTTTATGGTTTGTGAAAWTTTTTCTGTTCTTGATCTTTGTAATATCTTTATATATATTTAAAATATGATAATGATTAACTAATGTTATGTCCCACTCCCAGTTTCCTTTACCACGTTTAAATTTTAAATTCACTTAAAGCCTCTGGACTCATTTCCGAATCTCAGTTTTAAGAAGGGACATCAATTTAGGTACTTTTGTTAATTTTTTTTTTTTCATTCTGTGTTGTCCTCTCAGTGTTTAAAAGTAAAGCAGCCATTGATCTGGTGGCTTGGTTGAACATCTGCCTGATCTATGAAGAGTTTTCTAGAAAATATAAACTTAAAGAAACCAAAATTAATATTACTTCATACCAGACACTGCCACAAAGCCTGGTTTCAAGCTGTGCTGATATATTTTTCAACAAAGCCTGAAAAAAACCCTTCTGGAAATTCAGGGAGACATCCCAGAGCCATTGTCGTACACTTCCCTTTACATTTCCCAAAATAAACCAGACTCATTTTCTCTCCCCTTCTGTTTTTCATGAATAAASTTTCAGAATTAGCGATTTATTAGCAAAAAAAAAGGGTCTGAAAAAGCCATGAAGAGATTCTTCTGTGTGGCTGTATCATTTACTTTGAAATGTTAAGTATATCTATATATAGTGAGCAGGTGGATTTTAATGTCTGTGGATATATATATATATGTATTTTCCCCCAAATTAGTTTTCCAGCAGCATGTGCTGATTAGAGGAACGACAAGAAAATCTGATGATGACTGAGGGAAGTTTTTCTGTAAAGAGATCATTTCAAGGGCGAGAGGAACTTGTGATGGCTCTCATCCTGGAGYGCGGGGAATTGAGCGCGGAATTCGCCGCCCCGCGTTCCTCGCCATCCTCACCTTTTGAGAGTTGATATTGGTAACTAATCCCACTCCCATCAGTCGCTTTCTTAGCGTGCGTTTCTCTTTCAAAACGTGGATGTGGCTCCAATTAATACTAATTGGATTTATGGAGGAAAATACCCTGCAGGACTTTCGGGCTGGGCCGGTGTCAGAGCCGCGTGTTGTGGAATGTGATGGCTGCGGAAGCAATGCCAAAAATATTCCCACCAAATTCACCCATTTCCTTCTTTTTCTCATTGCTTGTGGTGAAACCAGTTGTTTGTAAAAATATTCCCACCAAATCCACACGTTTTCC